TATATATATAAAATTTTTAGATGGAGTCTTGCTCTGTCCCAGGCTGGAGTGCAGTGGCGCAATCTCGGTTCAATGAAACCTCTGCCTCTCGGATTCAAGCGCTTCTCCCACCTCAGTCTCCCAAGAAACTGGGATTACAGGCACCTGCCACCACACCCAGCTAACTTTTTGTATTTTTAGTAGAGATGGGACTTTACCTTATTGGCCAGGCTGGTCTCAAACTCCTGACCTCAGGTGATCTGCCTGCTTCGCCCTCTGAAAATACTGGGGTTATATGCATGAGCCACTGCGCCCAAACGCAGCTTTCTTCCATTTATGACTAATTCTAAATCAGAGTCTTGGACAAATGCCATCTGACAAGTAAACCTAAATTAGACCTGAAAACTTGGGTGCAAGGGAGTTTGGAAGACTTTTCAGTCTCTTGTGTACACCAGGAGGCTAGGTGGTATTGTACGAGCGAGGTCACAGTATTTGTAAATTTCACAGTATTTGTGAATATGTGAATTTTAATGTTCCTACTATTAATTTTTACATAAGTAATAGTGTATTGTTTTGGGTATTCAAAAACGTTGCATAAATTGTTATCACAGTGCAATTCTGCCTTTTCATCCAATATTATTCTTCATCTTTCACCCAGTCGACATCTGTAGCTCTGCTTCATTCTTTTTCGGTGCTATACAGTTTATTTGTTAGTGATTTGTTGCTGTGTAACAAACTGCATTAAAACTTACTGGTTTAAAACATGTTATCTCAGTTTCTGTGAGTCAGGAATCCAGGTGCAGCTTAGCTGGGCTCTCTGGCTCAGACTCTTTTGCAAGGCTGTAATCAAGGTGTCTCCTGGGAGAGTGCTCTCACCTAAAGACTTGACCAAGGCAGGATGTACCTCCAGCTCACTCGAGTGGTTGCTGGGAGGATTCACTTCCCTGCTGCTTGTGAGCTGCAGGGTATCATTAGTTCCTTGCCACGTGCGTCTCACCATAAGGCAGCTCACAACACGGCAGCTTGCTTCATCAGAGCAAGCAAGCGAACATGATTATCGCCATGTATAATGGGTTGAACAGTGTCCCCCTGAAACCTCAACATGTGACTTTGTGTGGAAATAGGGTCCTTCCAGATGTCATTAGTTAAGGATTTTGAAGTGAAACCAGCGTGGATTTAGCATGGACCCTAAATCCAATGACCAGTGTTTTTATAAGTAAAAGGGAGGACACAGGTCCCATAGAAGGCAATGCGAAGGTGGAGGCAGAGACTGGGATGATGCATCTGCTAGCCAGGGAGCGTCTAGGATTGTCGGCAGTCACCAAGACCTAAGGGTGAGGCACAGGACACTTTCTCCCTCTGAGCCTGCAGGAGGAACCAACCCTGTTGACACCTTGACTCCAGCCTTATAGCCCCAGGAGACATGAGACAATAATAAGTCTACACTGATTTAAGCTGCCTAGTTTGGTTTGCATCTTTTGTATATGCTACTTTTTTTACATGTAGATCTTTATCAAATTCTGTGTATGAGTTTATACTTATTTCTGTGGTTGTCTTTTCTAACTCATGCATTTTCTTTTTCCGTTTGTCTTTTATTTCCTCTTTGCTTTTTTTTTGTTGTTGTTGAGACAGTTTTGCTCTTGTTGCCCAGGTTGGAATGCAATGGGGTGATCTTGACTCACCACAACCTCCACCTCCCGGGTTCAAGTGATTCTCCTGCCTAAGCCTCCCAAGTAGCTGGGATCACAGGCATGCACCACCACACCTAGCTAATATTGTATTTTTAGTAGAGATGAGGTTTCTCCATGTTGGTCAGGCTGGTCTCAAACTCCCAACCTCAGATGATCTGCCCGCCTCGGCCTCTCGGAAATGCTGGGATTACAGGCATGAGCCATTGCGCTCGGCCTCCTGTTAGTGATTTTAAGTTCCATATTCTTTAATTCCTTTGGCAATTTCTATACAGGTGTGTAATTCTAGGTTGACCATTTCCTTCAGTATTTAAATATTACTTTATTGATTTTAGTCATTGCAGGTAAGAAGCCTGATGGTGGTCTAACTCTATTCCCTTTGCAATTGGTCTTTTCTCAGCTTTTAAGTATTTCTCTTTGTGCTCAATGTTCTACAGTTTCACTTGTGTAGATCTGTTTTACTTATACTGCTTAGGATTTAACGTGCCTTTACATCTGTGAACTTGTGTCTGTCAAATCCTGGAGGACTCTGCCCTCCTCTAGATGCTGCTTCTCCCCATTCTCCCTTCTGGATCTCCTAATTGGACATATTTTGAAGCATTTCTTTCTACTCATATTTTATCTTTTACATTTTCCATTTTTTTCTCTGTGCGCCTGCTAATTAAGTCTCTTCATTGTCTTCCAATTTACAGATTCCCTCCTGAGTCACGTCTGGTCTTTGTGACACCTAGACACTGAAGTTTTCTGTTTCAGTGACTATATTCTTCTTCTCTAGAATGTCTATTAATATGGTTGTCAAATCTATTATTAAGCTGTCTTGGTTTATCTTAGTTGCTAGTTTGTTTTTTTTAAGAGACAGGGTCTCACTATGTTGCCCAGGTTCGAGTGCAGTGGCTATTCACAGGTGTGATCCCACAGGAGTGCAGTGGCTATTCACAGGCACTGATCAGCACAGGAGTTTTCACCTGCTCTATTTCCGACCTGGGCAGGTTCACCCCTTCTCAGGCAACCTGGTGGTCCCCCAGTCCTGGGAGGTCACCATACTGATGCCAAATTTAGTGCAGACACCTGATTGGCATAGCGCCCTACAGCCCAGAACTCCTGGGCTCAAGCGATCCTCCCACCTCCGTCTTCCAAGTAGCTGAGACTACAGGCACGCGCCACTCTGCCCGGCTACCTGTTTTTTTTTTCTTCTCTTATCTCTTTAAACATGTTAAGCCTACTTATCTTCAAGTCTCTTTCAGATTATTTGATAATTATTACCAGCTGTTGGTGATGCAAATTCCATAGATTGCATGCCCTGCTATCTCTGCCTCGAGATGGTTGAATTCTTTGTGTGGTTCATTTCCTTTTTTCTTTGCACTTGGTGGAGGGGACAGACCTGTCTTCCCAGCTCAGTCCACAATTACCATCTCAGGTCAAGTATCTTAACATAGGACAAAGCCTTTGTTTCCTTAAACAGGGCAAGCCCTTTGGTGGTCTCTCTGTCAGCCCTCCAGAGTGTCCTGACATCTGACTGGGTACCTGGTACCCAAGAGCCATCTCTGAGCGCCCTCTGTCAGCTCTGCAGTGTGCCTTTTCTCTCTCAGTAGCCACTCTGAGGTACCAAGTGGTGAACTGAAGTTAATTCTGAGTGCTTTTCAACATACTCATCTGGCCCTGTGTGACCCTGAAAAAGCCATTTAACTACCAAACTTTTCTGTAAAGTAGGGAATATTCTTTATTATTTAGAGACAAGGTCTTGCTTTGTTGCCCAGGCTGGAGTATAGTGGCGTGATCATAGCTCACTGCAGCACTGAACTCCTGGGCTCAGGCCTTCCACCTCAGCTCCTTCCACCTCAGCTGAGACCACAGGTGCATGCCACCATGCCTGGCTAGTATTTACATTTTTTTGTAGCGATGAGGTCTTGCTAATGTTGCCTAGGCTGGTCTTGAACTCTTGGGCTCAAGAGATTCTCCCAACTCAGAGTCTCACAGTATGCTGGGATTACAGTCATAAGCCACTGTGCCTGGTCTTTATTTTTTTTAAATAAGTATTATAAGTATTATAAAACAAAAAACTGCCCACAAAGATAACACATGATTTCTTAAAAAGAAATGGTTTAATTTCATTTTTATCTGGGAAAAAACAAATCGAGTTTAAAATGAAATGACAAATGCACTGACATGTCAAGTGTCTTTTTTATGGTATTACGCTTAATCAAAGTTCGAAGATACAGAACCTCTTTATAAATTTCTGGCATCAAAGATTCCCACTGCAGATAAAAACAGGTTGGTTACAAAATGTGAATTCATTAAGCATTCCATTTTTGTTCTTTGTTTTTAATAAGAAATATTTTCTAGAAACAGTGTAAAACAGGGTCAACTTTTGGAAATTTAATTATAAAATTTTAGAAAAAATTTTTCTTTGCAAACCACGAAGAGTCTAATTTGACCCTGGGGAGTTCCCTGTGAAGTTCAGCAGACGGCTAGAGCTATTTCAGAGCTCTGGGTTCTCCACAGTAGAAGCCGCCTTCTTTAGCGCTTAGATTAAGACCCCAGCTTTTTCCAATTAGCCTCAATCAGAAAAGTTTAACATACACAAATATTTCTATAGTGCAGTAAAAATGTCATTTTATATTAATTTGCATTATGAAAATAAGTCTGTATACCCAGTAATGCATAATGAATAGGAATCATGTAAATTTGGTCATGGTATCTGAAGTTGGCTTTGGCTTTGAAGTATTTTTAAATTCATAGAAAATAAATAAAACATTTTAATAACTGATATTAATAATCAACTTCAAATTTTCTTTTTTTCCATTTGCTACTCAATTTTAAAAGAGAAGTCACTCTCAGTAGTGTTCCAAAGTGAGTGATTGCACCTTCTATGTGAAAAAGCTGCTAAAGATCCGATTGCCATTAGCCATTCCTAAGTGCTGAACATACTGAGAGAAACAGTTTGCAATGGACATGCTCTGTCACTGGCAGCAAATCCATCAATACCCTTTGCAGGGGTGCTCCAGACCTCGTGTTTTCACAGAAAGCGATGCCATCCGTGGTTCTCACGTGCCTTTCTGAAGAGCTCCTGCAGCAGGCCAGGCTATGGTGGCCAAGTCTCGCTTGACAGTAATGGCATCGGATGGTGGCCGGAGGAGGTTACTGATGTCCCTGTGTGCTTTCATGGGCTATGTGGATCAGGGGGCTGTTCTGCCTAATACTGAAAGGACCAAGAACCCTGGCTGCCCTCAGGAATTCCAAATGACCGAAGGCACAGAGCTTCAGGGCAGTGGGTGGTGTCTCCCACTATTCAGGAGGTGGTCGGAGGCTCCGCAGCTTCATTTCGTCCAGTCCTTTCCAGTATTTAAAGTTGTTGTCAAGATGCTGCATTAAATCAGGCAGGTCTACAAAGGCTGGAGAGAAAGATGGGAATGTGGTATCATTTTACAGCCTCGCCTAACAGGTTCAGGCTTTCTGCTGAGAGCATTTTAGAGAGTGACAGACAGGAGCAGGCATCTGTGTGAGGCTAAGCAGACCTGGGCAAATACACCCAGCAACTTCAACGAGCCATGGCTGACTGAAGTGAGACCCTGTCCTCCCTGCCAGCACCTCCTCTATGGCCACCTGCTGAGCTGGTAACTTTAGCCACCTTCTGTTGTATTGGCCAATCTGCTTAATTGCCATTCAACCAACACCTCTGGGCCTGGGGTATCAGAAAGCAAAATGTCGTGTGCCCTCCACCTTATGGCCTGGCCCTGTGTGCTCGCTCTCCCTCCATGCGTGCTTCACATACACCGGCATCTCCTTCCACCTGCAGCCTGGAGACGCAGGCATCTGGTCTCAGTCCCAGAAGCAGTGAGCTGCAGAGCTGGCAGTTTCCCCCAAAGCTGCAGCTATCTCCACTGCTTCAGCCCTTCTCCCTAGCCACATAACCGCAGTTCTACGGCCTCTTTGAGACACGGGTTTATGTCCTGACTGGATCTGGACATTTATCAGCCCCGCAGCCCCTCCCCCAGGGCGCAGCCCTCAGAGTGAAGATGCCCATGGAGTATCAGTGGATCCTGTTCTCTGGCTTATTTGACAGGCTCCTGGGCCCCACCTGAAGTTAAAGGTGGGTGACATGGTCAGAGACAGACCAGTCCTTCTGATCTTGAGTAGAGTGAGGCTGGGAGAAGAGGGGACAGTGGAGGGCACAGGGCTGGTGGAGAAACACCATGGGTTCTGGAGCCAGCACTGTTTGCTTCTGAACCCTGGCTGCTCTACTACAAGCTAGGGGGCCCCAAGTTCAATCCGCTCATCTATAAAACAGGCGTAACGATATCTGCGCCTGCCGGGAGTGTTATGAAACAACACTCAGCCCTCCGGGGCCCTCGGGGACGGTTCACTTCTCTCGTTTTCGAAAGACTAGGCCCCAAATCATGTTCTAGAGTCAAATGCACCCTGTTGTTTCAGATGCAGTTCCCCATCAGTTAAAGGAAAATGTGCTATTTTAAGGAAGATTTCTTACCGTCCCAAGCATCAAACATGTCTGTGATGAAGTAATCAATGAAAGAGATTTGGGATTTGGGGATGCTGCAGGTATTTCTGTCAAAAACTGGCATCACCACAGGTAAGTCCTGCTGCTTCTCCTCATCAGTCTGCAAAGCGGAAAACGTCATGATCAGGAGACCCCAGCACCTGGTTCCATTCCACCTAGGGGTAGCCCCTCCCCCAGGCAGAGCTGCTCCTGGCAGCCTAAGGTGGCTTGTCTTGCCACCCCACCCAGCCAAACCATGTTTCATAGCAGATACCCAGTTCTCAGAATGTGGACCACTCCATGTCAGGGGGCTCTGAGGACACCTCGACTGAAGCCAAACTGAATATTGCAAAGCCGCCCTGCAGAAGCTCCTCAGGTAAGATCCCAACAGTAAGTGTAGTCAGCCACCACTGTCGTTCCTACTGACCTAAAGAAACTGAGTCAAAATTAGTAGAGTTTATTTGGGCCAAGTTGAGGCCAGTTGCTCAGGAAACACTGTTCTGGAGAATACAGGAGATGCTCCAGTTTTTAGGAACTTTTATTGTACTGGTTTACTGAAAGAACACTGATTAGTGATTGGCTACATACTGCTGAATGATAGGATATGAACTGTGGCATTGTTAGGTTAATTTATGGCTACTGGCCTAGAGTCCACAGAGTGGGCGATTACTTACGCCAAGGTGGGGAGTGAAATGTAACTGCTGTCACATTTCACTGCCTCTCTGGGCCTGACAACTAAAATGGGCTCACATTCCTCAGAGAAAAAGCTGCTTTCTTTTCTTACTATCATAGTCCAGCCATCCTTGCACTCAGCTTGAAGCCCACACAGGGGCCACAGTGATGAGAAACACAGCCCCTCCTTCACAGGGAAAGGCCTCGTGGCTGCTTCTCATCTCAGGCCGAATTACTTATCTGAAAAGGTTCTGAACACCCTTGAGATCCTGGAAGTTAAAAACAACAAACCTCTGCGGTGAGTTTTTATATACTTTAGTCAAATCATCTATCTCTTCAGGATTCCAGAAAGACTTGCAAAACATTGAAAACATAATTAAGAACCTGAGGAAAAAGGCAGGCGTCCTGTTCTTTCTTTGATAAGGTCTCATTTTGACTCAACGGTGCTGGAGAAAGGGTGAGGAAGGCCCCTGGGGCCGGAATGAGGCTAGAGTCGTGCAGGCATGCTCTAGAGGCCCCTGTGGACGTGCAACTGGAAGCCCCGCACGATCCTGGCCTGCTGTGGCAGGGTGCCTGTGCTGGGAGTCAGGTCAAAGGGTGGGGCAGGATGAGCGGCAGAGTGAACACAGGTGGAGTGAGGTGGGAGTGGGCTGTGGGGAACAGCTCTTCTAAATGGGACCCTAGTGCATGCGTGGGGCCAGGTGAAAGGATGGTGACTGCTATGCTGACCACCACCCTTTCTCCCCAATGCTGGGGCTGGAGGGGGTGGAGCCAACCCTCTGGGGTCACTCTGGGAGAGCCTGAGGTGTTGGGCCAGGTGTGGTAAGAACGATGGGAGAAGGCTGGCTGAGCGCACAGAAGAATGACCACTAAAGTCTCATCCCACTGTTGGCCATTCACAAGATGTGTCTTCTATACTCAGCTGTACTTCCACCTCCCAAATGGCCAGCAGAGCTCACCTCATCAGAGCCAGGCTTCTGGCGACTGGCAGAACCCACTTGCAGCTCCTCCCCGTAGCCCTTGCTCCACAGGGCCAAGAATATTCCCATGCTTGCATTCATAGGCCCTCCAGGGAATGCTGTGCCAGGCCAGAAAGTTCTCTCATTGCAGCATCTCTCTACCCTACCGCACCTCTACAGAACCAGCTTCAGCACTTGCACGGGGCTTCCTCAAGTCACTGACTCCACTGCCTTTCTTCTGTGCGCTCAGCTACCCTTCCCCATCTTCCCTACTACACCGGGCCCCACACCTCCGGCTCTCCCAGAGTGACCCCCCAGAGGGCTGGCTCTACCAGTTGTGCATCTTGCCCTGTGCACAAAACTCACTCCAGCTCTCCATATGGGCTCTCCCCTTGAGGACAGCAGGCAAACCTCTGGAGGTTTTCTTAGGGTGGCACCGTACCTAGCACAGTGCCCAGAGGTACGTTTATGCTAGGTAAGTGTTCATGGTGCTGGCTCCAAGTGCCAAGAAAGAGGTCTGTGCTCCCTGTTTTCAGGTGGACAGTGCTAGACTGTGGGACTGGGCAAAAGCCAAAAGTAAGAGCTCCTGCTGTCCTAGATGGTTCAGAAGATGAAATTCATGTGCTTTGGTAAGAGGAAGAGTGGGGAATGCTGGCTCAGCAGCCACTGGCTGATGAAGGCCCTGCTGGTGGCCACAGGCTGGCGGCCCTAGCCCTGGTGCTGTCTCAGAAGAGCGCAGTCAGCCTTACATGAGTCTCTGCCGTGGTACATATGGGAAGAGGTGGGGGCGCAGGGAGGGCTGTGAGTTCACAGCCCATTGGCCTGTCCAGCTCAAACAGCAGTGCCCTGAATGGGGAGCACTCCTGATGTGCCCTCCCTTGGCCACATTAGACCCTAAATCAGCCCTCCCTGGGCAACCATGGCAAAGGCTCAGTCAGCTCAGCCACTCATGCATCCAGAGGCTTTTCTGTCTCTTTGCTCTCAGGGCCTGCCCAAAGCAGCTGGCTGGTTGAAGGTCACTGAAGACCCTCATGCTCAGATTTCTTCTCTTTGGCCCAATGTGACAAGTGCATGGAGCTTCCAGGGACCCAGTTACCTCACGGAGACCACTGTTTGCTAAGGAGAACAGTTAAACCATGGCCCAGGCACTCACGTAAGTCACTAGTAAGGGCTCCACACCTGTAGATGCTTCCTTTCTGTGACTGCCCCCCCAACCCTCAGGGCAGGATCTAAAAGTTTCACATTTCACCCTTGTGCCCCAAGCGAAAAGAAGACAGACTGTACAACACCTTGCGCAGAACCAGGTAAGTGGTCTTCAAGTCCCATTCCCCATGAAGTCAAGCAGCCCCAGACAGAAACCAGAGATGCCTCTTCACCTCGCTTCAGGCCCTGGTGCTCTTGGTATCCACGCTCTTCAGCAGAGAGGGTGGCTATAAGGAGTGAACTTGCAAACCTAACCCAACAGAGTACAAGAAGCAACTGTGTCTCAATGACTTTCCGAACCAAAGCCTAGGCACTGGAGTAACATCAGTAATGCGGTACATTAGGAAGCTCCAGGCCCTCACTACTCCATGAAAATATCAAAAAGTGAGAGACTGGCTAAAATAACCTAGAGGAACTCTGGAAAACAGTCACAAGTCTACAGCAACCAAGCAAATGCTCATCAAGAAAAGCCACATTCACACCAGTAGGAAGCTTAAGGGTATTCTCACTTAACCTTGCCACATCATGTCCCTCCCCAGCGTGGTACAATCTTGGTCTGTAGGAGGCAGCAGCCCAGTTTCCAACTGTGTCCCTTGAACTGGAGGAAGCAGAGCAGACCTCATTTGCAACATTCTGACAAGTCTGTGGGCTGCCTACAGGACTGGTCTCTGTTTCACTTCGCTCCCAGGTAGAGAAACAATGACTATAGAGAAGCAATGACTATAGAGAAGCAATGACTACTGCTCAGGAAAGCTGCAGGGAGATGACCGACATGCATACCTGGGGACAAGAGATTAGAACGAAGACCAACAATTGATCATCTAAGGCCCTCTTTGGACAAGACTCTTTGGGAAATTCAGACATTCGAAAGCAGCTGTGGGGAATTAAGGGTATGTATAATATAAAATTAAGGGTATATATAATATAGGGGAATTAAGGGTATGTATATGCACACTCAGGCAAGACATGCTCAGAAAAATGTTTCAGAAAACTTTAAACTTTCTTGTTGGGTTAACTGCAAGGCTCAGACAGTCTTCAAAGAGTAGGAGAGGTGGCTCTTTTTAAAATGCCTAATTTTCAACAAAAACAAGGCATACAAAGAAATTGGAAAATATGGCCCAATCAAAGGAAGAAAACAAAGACGTACAGGCACTGGATAAAGAGTTGAAGATGACTGTCTTAAATATGATCAAATAACAACAAAAACAAACAAAAAAAAACCAGACTAAGAACTATAGGAAATCAGGGAAATGGCAGATGAACAACTCAGTGAGAATTGCAGCAAAGAGAGAAATTACAAAAAGTAACCTAACAGGCCAGGGATGGTGGCTCACACCTGTAATCCTAGTATTTTGGGTGGCTGAGGTGGGCAGGTCACCTGAGGTCAAGAGTTTGAGTCATCCTGGCCAACATGGTGAAACCTCATCTCTACTAAAAATACAAAAATTAGCTGGGCATGGTGGCTGGCGCCTGTAATCCCAGCTACTTGGGAGGCTGAGACAGGAGAACTGCTTGAACCCAGGAGGTGGAGGTTGCAGTGAGCCAAGATGGCACCATTGCAATCCAGCCCAGGTGACACAGCAAAAACTCCATCTCAAAAAACAAATTAAACTTCATCAGAGGGATTCAGCATCAGATTTGGGCAGACAGAAGAAAAAACAATGAAGAAAAGTGACTAGAACCTAATGAATTCATGGGAAACCATCAAGTGGACCAATACACATCTTATGAGTCCAGCAAAGAGAAGAGGAGGAGGAAAGGACCGAGGGGTTATTTGAAGAACTAATAGCCAATAGGCACAGTAGTACATGATTGTAATCTCAGCTACTTGAGAGGCTGAGATAGGAGGGTTTCTTGAGCCCAGAGTTCAAGATCAGCTTGGGCAACATAGACCTCACATTTGAAAAAATAAGAAATAGTGGCCAAAAACTGCCATAATTTGGGGAAAGATGTGAATCTACAAATCCAAGAAGCTAAATAAATTCCAAGTAGGATAAACCCAAAGAGATCAATCTGAGACACACTATAACCAAACAATCAAAAGACAAAGGATCTTGAAAGCAGCAAGAGAAAAGAGACTCACCACAAATAGGAGATAATAAGATGATCTGCTCATTTCTCAGCAGAAACCCTGAAGGCCAGAAGGCAGTGAAATTATATAAAGTGCAAAAAGACAAAAAACTGTCAAATGAAAATTCTGATTCTAGCAAAGTGTCCTTCAAAAAAGAGGGAGGAATTAAGACATTCCTAGATAAACATAAGCTGAGGGAATTTATTACTATTAGACCTGACCTACAAGAAATGCTAAAGGAATCTTTTAGGTTGATATAAAGATCTCTGATAAAGGTAAATACATGGGAAAATATAAAAAACAGCATTATTATAATTTTGGTTTGTAACTTTAAAAAATACATAAAAATTTTAATGTTAATGGGTATATAAGGTATAAAGATATTATTTGTGACATCACTTACAAAATGGAGTGGGAAGGTAGAGCTATATAGGAGTCTGTGTATACAATTCATCTTAAGTTGATACCAATTAAAACCCATTGTTGTAAGTTTACACTGTCCTATGCAGTCTCTATGGTATCCACAATGAAACTATCTATAGAAAAAGGGAATCAAAATGTGTCATTACAAAACATCAAGTAAGCACAACAGGAGGCAGTAATGGAGGAAATGAGGGACAGAAAAGCTGTAAGACATACAGAAGACTAACAAGGTGGCCAAAGTCTTCCCCTGTCAGTAATTATTTTAAATGTTAAGTAGATTAATCTCAAAAGGCACAGACTGGAAGAATGGGTAAGAACACATGATCCAACTACATTGTATATACAAGAGAATCACTTAGCTCTCAAGACATATGTAAGTTGAAGAAGATATCTCATGAAAATACTACCCAAAAGAGAGTTGGGGTGAGTATCCTAAGAGACAAAATAGACTTCATGTCAAAAACTGTTACAGGCCCGGCGCACTGGCTCAGGCCTGTAATCCCAACACTTTGGGAGGCTGAGGCAAGTGGATCACCTGAGTTTAGGAGTTTGAGACCAGCCTAGCCAACATGATGAAATCCCACCTCTATTAAAAATACAAAAATTAGCCAGGCATGGTGGTACACGCCTGTAATCCCAGCTCTTCAGGAGGCTGAGGCAGGAGAATCCCTTGAACGTGGGAGGTGGAATATGCAGTGAGCTGAGATTGTGCCACTGCACTCCAGCCTGAAAGGACATTAATAAAAGGGTCAATTCATCAGGAAGATATAACAATTATAAGCATTTATGTACCAAATATCACAGTTTCAAAATATATGAAGCAAACATATATAGAACTGAAGGAAGAAACAGATACTTCTAAAATAATGTTCGGAGATTATCATACTACACTTTTATACTCAATACTACACTTTTATAATGAATAGAACAATGAGACAGTAGATCAATAAGAAAATAGTTTGAACAATGCTCTCGGCCAACTGGACCTAACAGAATGTATAGAACATCCACCCCAAAACAGCAGAATATACATTTTTTTCCTCAAGTGCAAATGGAACGTTCTCTAGGAGAGAACACATTATAAGCCATAAAACAAATAGTGTATTTTAAAAGGTCAAAAGTTATACAAAGTGCCTTTTCTAATCACAATGAAATTAAACCAGAACTCAGTAATGGAAGGAAAACTGGGAAACTCACAAGTATATAAAAATTAAACAGCATATGCTTTGATATGGTTTGGATTTCTGTCCCCACCAAATCACATGTTGAACAATAATCCCCAGCGCTGGTGGGATGTGTTTGGGTCATGGGGGGAGATCCTTCATGGATGGCTTGGTACCCTCCCCATGGTAATGAGACAGATCTTGCTCTGAGTTCACAGGTGACCTGGTTAGGAGTGTGGCAATTCCCCCTGCTCTCTTGCCATGTGATACATCTCCTTCCCCCTTTGCCATGATCATAGGCTTCCCGAGGCCCTCACTAGAAGCTGAGCAGATGTTACTTCCATGCTTGTACAGCTGCAGAACCATGAGCCAAAATAAACTTCTTTTCTTTATAAATTATCCAGCCTCAGGTATTTTTTAATGGCAATGCAAAGGGACCAATAACAACCAATGGGTCAAAGAAGAAATCATAAGGGAAATTAGTAAATACTTTGAGACAAATGAAAATGAAGCCCACTATACCAGAAGTTAGTGAATGCAGCAAACACGGTGATAAGAAGGAAATTAATAGCTGTAAATGTCTACAAGATTTTACATCAACAACCTAACTGAACATGTTATGGAGCCATAGAAAGAATAAATTAAACCTAAAGTTAGCAAAAGGAAGGAAATAATAAAGAACAGACGTACACGGAAAACAGAAAAATTTAGATAATTTTTTTGAAAAGATCAACAAGATAGACAACTCTTTGGCTAGATGGACTAAGAAAAAAAGACAGGACCCAGATTACTAAAATCAGAATGAAAGTGGGAATATTACTCCAGGTTTCACAGGAATAAAAAGGATTATAAGAGAGTACCATGAACAACTGTATGCCAACATAATAAATAAATTACTAGAAACATGCAACCCACCAGCACTGAATCATAAAGAAACAGGGAATCTGAATAGACCTATGACTAGCAAGGAGACTGAATCAGTAATCAAAAACCTCCCAACAAAGGATGGTTTAACTGGTTAAATTTTACCAAACATTTTGAGAAGAATTAATGTCAATCTTTGTCAAATTCTTCCAGAAAAATCGAAAAGGAAGCATTTCCTAACTCATTACATGAGGCCAGCATTATGCTAATAACAAAGCAAGACGAAGACACTACAAGAAAATTGCAGACCAATATCCCCCGTCAATACCGATGCAAAAATCCTTAAAAAAATGCTAGCAAACCAAATTCAGCAGCATGTTAAAGGATTATACACAACAACTATGTGGAATTTATTCCTGAAATGCA